TCTTCCGTTTGACAACATCAACCGTCAATCAATTCAGCATTGTGGACGATAACAACGTTTTTAGACGATAACAATCTACTTCTACAGTGCTTATGGTTTTTACAGTCGAAATGACGGTCAATTTTCAGTTGATGACAATTGAAAAATTAAATAAATTGCGATAATTTTAAACAATTTGAGGTGTTTAAAGCTAATGTATGGCAAACGTTACATCAAGATAATGTACAAAAGAAGGGACTTTATTAACAGGATAATAATAGAAAGAGTTCCTTCAAACAGATAATATTCGATCCATTATACATTTCATGACCAAGGGAGTAATCCACCGAGTTCTTACAGTATTTACAAAAGTGGGATAAAATTATATCTAATGATTATCTACCGTAAATATGTCATTTGAAAAGAAGAACGATCCCAAACTTGTTAACGACGAATTTTCAGACGTTTATCTTGAGTGTTGCTGTCTTAGCTTTCGCTTTTGATTTGTGTCATCTGGAGATACTAAAAAGATAATGAATGAATATCCATTTCAATCCTGCAATCACAGTTAAACACGCATTTAGATGTCTGATTTGAAAAGGCCAGATTATTTTATAATTTCTTCATCTTTGTCTTGTATCTTCCCTCTCATTTCCTTCCTCGAATCCTTCACCCTAGCTCTAAGAAATATAATAGTTTATGTGAATAAGTAGCCAAAGAAAACGTACCAATTCATTTTTTAAGGTGAGACTATACTATAAATAAACTATATACATTTTGAGCATAAAACAGGGATTTCTACTTATTTTCTAGTAAATATTCACGGTTTTAGATAACATATTTTTATTTTTTACCACTGAATTCGCCGCTTGTATTTAGACCCCGTTTTCTTGACTCCGAAAGAAACCCAGCGACTGTGGTCCCTTATGGAGAAAGCTTAATGTCGCTCTAGATAACAACCTTAAGGATTATAGGCGCCAGGTTGGCTTTGCATGTACCAGGCTTTGTGTGTGGTAAAGGCTTGGGAGTACTGGGAGAACGGAGAGGTTTTACTTTCGTCTTAGCATTCGTTGTTCCTGGCTTGGGAAGTGGTATTCTTAGCATTCTTAACACGATCTTGCATACTTGCAAAATCCTATTAGTTTTAAAGAAATACCTTTGTCTAGGTTTGTAAGGAGTTAATGATAGTTCTCATTGGCTTGCAAAGTGTGTGTGTGTATGTTTATATATATATATATATATATATATATATATATATATTATATATATATATATATATATATATATATATATATATATATATATATATATATATATTATATATATATATTTATTCTTATATATATATATATATATATATATATAAGTATATAATTATATATACACATATTTCCTTTTCTGTTTCTTATTTGCTTTCTTTTCTTTTCATCATCCTTTTCCTTTTTTGAAGGATAAATGTTACAGAGGGTGAAGCAACCATCCTGGTGATATATTCATGGACAAATCATTTATATTGTGGGAGTATTTAAAGCAGAACTGAAACCCAGGATTTTACACAGCTGTATGTGTTATCTCTTATGCAATCAGTCCGGCTTATCTTCAGAATGTGCATTACTCAACGAATGTTGTTTCATACATCTCATATTTAGAGAAAATATGTTCGTCATACATGGTCAAAAGGATTATATATTATGCCGCACACTTCACTCAATACTCTCTTTCTTACCCTCACCAAGGAACTAATTTTTGTTATCGATCTCTTTGGCCGTTTCTATCTCCGTCTCTGTCGGTCTTTTTGAATGTCTGTATCTCTCTCTCTCTCTCTCTCTCTCTCTCTCTCTCTTCTCTCTCTCTCTCTCTCTCTCTCTCTCTCTCTCTCTATTTATACATCTACCTATTTATTTCTATCTCAATCTATCTATCTCTAGCTCTAGCTCTCTTCCTTCCCCCTGTCTATCTTTCCGCTCCCCTCCCTTTCTCTATATATGTATCTTCTTTCAGTGCTCTTACTTTTTTCTATTATTTGTCACAATTCTCTTTGTGTGTCTCTACCTCTGTTTCGTTCTCTCTCTCTCAGTCTCTCTCTCTCTCTCTCTTCTCTCTCTCTCTCTCTCTCTCTCTCTCTCTCTCTCTCTCTCTCTCTCTCTCTCTCTCTCTCTCTCTCTCTCTCTCTCTCTCCTCTCCCCTCCCTCTCCCTCCCTCCCTCTCTCTCTCTCTCTCTCTCTCACACACACACACACACACACACACACACACACACACACACACACACACACACACACACACACACACACACACACACACACACACAAACACACACACACATTCGTTCTGTTATGCGTTTTATCCCTTTGCCGTGGCTTCGAAGAGGATCTGTTTGTTTAGCGAGTACAGCCAGTGATAACATAGTAACAGTTCTAATCTTGCCACTTACCTGATATGGGAAAATCACACACTCTCCCAGATGCGCATCTTCAGTGCAAGATCATCACAACGTGGCTGGGAAACTGCAACTGTAGCAAGGATGTTCATTTATTCATTATTTAAACTAGACCTTCATATCCCTAGAGCTTCTGTCAGTGTTCGCAATCATTGCTACAGAACTTCCTTCAGCTAATCAGCCAAGAAAAGTCGGGTCTTGAGTAAAGTGCCCTTGGCACCAGAGTCGCGCCCGTACTTCCAGCCGTATGTGGTAACGAGTGCCAAAGGTAGACACCACGCAGTCTGCCTCTGTAGTATCTGGCGTCGACACAGCAAGTTAAACCACCTGTTGTATAAGCTCCTACTTTTTATATTTGATAGGTATAATGGTGCATATTTAATTCGAGAATGTCTGAAAATGGAAGATCATGGTTTTTTGTTATCCACAGCAGATTTCAGAGGATAGGCCGTGGCTGTAAACCAGCATTTCTTTTCACTAAATTCGGCTTTATTCCATGGAAGTAAGGTGGCCAAAAGCTAAGCGTACTGTACCAGAATTCGTGGCCAGCGTGAAGTAATATCGTCCCATTTCACATGAAAATGTTGGTGTTTTAAACTCGACCATACGAAAATCATAGTGAAGAAGAGCAATCGCATGTCACGACAATGAACAACACTGTTATATCCTAACCACGAGGTTGATCAAACACAAGGTCCAGGCTCGAAGGACAGCGATGGCCGGGGAAAGTTCTTCGGCAAAAGGGGAAACGGAGGAGAGGACGGTGCCTGACGGAGGATGGGGATGGATGGTCGCCCTCGGCTGCTACGTAATGGTGGTAAGGATGCTTGACTCACTCGTTGGAAGCGTCGATATCTTAAACATCATAACGAAAAGAAAGTTGGAATAATGTGGTATTGTTCGCGTTTCTAATTCTGCTGAAGACTATTCGTTCTAGGAGTGCAAAGTATATTGTTCATAGAACTATACTTTTCTGCAATACGCAGGTGCAATAACTTATAAGTAGGTTAAACATTCCTGTCGAGAAAAGAAATTAATATTTACTATGTTCACCAAATGTACCAAGATCTTCGACTTCATGGGATATTCTATTAAACTCTAGGTATTTTATACTTCACTTTCTGTGACAAAAGCCCTTTCACTTACATTTTGCGGTGCTTACTGAAGTCATAGATAGGAAAATATCTGCCATTCCAAGAAAATAATGATAAATAGGACTATTTATAAAATTAAATAGGTTCCAATAACTTTCGAGTTCCATCTATTGTTTGAACAGATATATAATCTTCTTTTCACAGAAAATTCGAGCTGCTAACTTGTTTCCATGTACAGATACCTATACTATACTATATATACTATACTATACCTATACCTATATACCTAATACATTTTGTATTAATTTGAAACCTTTTTCTTCATTGTTTTGAAAGAAAAAAAATTCTCTGCATCATTCTCTCTTCCAGGTAACGCTGCCCGGCATGTCCCTTAGTTTTTCCATCCTTTTTTCGACCTTCCTGCTGGACCTGGGCGTGTCCTCGACAACCACAGCCTGGATCTTTAACTCTCATCTATTACTGTGGAATTTGGTGGGTCCGCTAACAGGTCCTCTCACGACAGAGTTCGGGTTCCGGAAAGTCAGCATGATCTGTACTGGCGCTGGCGCCACGTGCTTGGTCTTGTGCTCTTTTGCTACCTCGGCAGAATTCCTCCTTGTAGCATTTGGCTTGGGTGGTGAGTTCTTGATTTCCCCTCCAAAGATTATGCTGTGTTTCTTGCAACAGATAATAAAGTTATGGTAATAACTTTAGCTATAGATGAGATACTTTCGTAGAAAATACAGATCGCCGATATATCTTTGTAATTTATGCGGCGAGCAAAAGCTTCCCCATAAATATTCTTTAACTCTCGCAGGATTGTTCGGAGGTCTGGGGTGCAAGCCGTGTTACTTGATTATCGCTCACTACTTCAAGCGGCGTCGCGGTCTGGCCACGGCTATCATGATGGCAGGCATGTGTACGGGGCAGTTTGCAGGACCTCCATTAATTCGCCTTTTGCAAGAAACTTACGGCTTCAGGGGCGCCACCCTCATCGTCGGCGGCATAATGCTTCACAGTGTGGCCGGAGCTGCACTTTTCCAGCCCGTTCAGTGGCATATGAAGAAAGGAACGACGTCGAAGGAGCTGAGAAAACAAGAGACACCAGCAGACAAACAGGAAGATTCGTCACTAATTAACCCTCCACCAACCGTTCCACAAGTACCACTACCGCTCCGGAATAAAAGGCTTCGACAAGTGAGCGAGTCCTCCGCGTCCTTACACCTATCCACGGTGGATATATCTGGATATCCAACGATTTGCGAAGAAGACGCAGACAATTATGGCTCGGAGACGTCTCAAGATAATCCGAAGACCGGTGGTGCTTGGATCCTAATCGGCCGCGTCCTTCGCTCGACAATTACTGACTTGAAAATCCTAAAATCTCCACCAGCCCTGATTATCGCGTTAGGAGGCCTCCTGTCCCAGAACGGCTACCTCAACTTCACGCTTATGATGCCCTTCGCCGTACAGGACCATGGGTATAC